CCTTTTATGCTGTATAATATGCAGCATGCACTCTACAAGTACAGGACCTGGTAAAGCCCAAAGGCAGAATTCCGCAAAAATATCAAGCAGTCAGACAAAAACGAACACTTCCTTTTGCATATATTTCCCTAACTACTACAAATAACGAAATCAAACTTATTTAAATGGATAGAGAAACATGTGGTCTTTCAGTTGACACCAAGACTGCAAGATTTAGACAATTCTTAGACCTTTTATGCACGAATATATGAAGCATTCTCTGCGCAGGACGAGGACCTGTATAGCGCAGACAAAGCCAAAATTCCGCAAAAATATCAAACAGTCAGACAAGAATTTGCACTTCATTTGGCATTTATTTCCCTAACTACTACAAATATGGATATTAAACTTATACAAATAGAAAGGAGAACATGTGGCCTTTCCGATGACACAAAGATTGCCAGATTTAAATGATTCTCAGACCTTTTAGGCTCGATTATATGAAGCATTCTCAGCGCAGGATGAGGACTGGTATGGCGCAGACGAAGCCAGAATTCCGCAAAAATATCAGGCAATTGGACAAGAACTTCCATTTCCTTTGGAAGATATTTCCCTAACTACTGCAAATATAGGTATGAAACTTATACGAATGGACAGGGAAACATGTGGCCTTTCAGATGACACCACGATTGTCAGATTTAGATAATTCTCAGACCTTTCAGCTCGATTATATGCAGCATTCTCTGCGCAGGATAATTACCGGTATGGCACAGACGAAGCCAGAATTCCGCGAAAATATCAAACAGTCTGGCGAAAACGTGCACTTCCTTTGGCAGATATTTTCCTTAACTACTGCAAATATGGATATGAAACTTATATGAATGGATAAGGGAACATGTGGTCTTTCAGATGACAGCAAGATTGGAGGATTTAGATACTTCTTAGACCTTTTATGCTCAAATATATGAAGCATTCTCTGAGCGGGATAAGGACCGTAATAGCGCAGACGAAGCCAGAATTCCGCAAAAATATCAGGCCGTTGGACACAAACTTGCATTTCCTTTGGCAGATATTTCCCTAACTACCGCCAATTTGAATATGAAACTTATATGAATATATAGGGGAACATATGACCTTTCAGATGACAACAAGATTGCCAGATTTAGATAATTCTTAGACCTTGTTATGCTCGAATATATGAAGCATTCTCTGCGCTGGATAAGGACCGGTATAGCGCAGAAGAAGCCAGAATTCCGCAAAAATAGGAGGCAGTTGGACACAAACTTGAATTTCCTTTGACAGATATTTCCCTAACTACTGAAAAATTGGATAGGAAACTTATATAAATAAATAGAGGAACGTGTGGCCTTTCAGATGAGAGCAAAAGTGGAAGATTTAGATAATTCTTAGACCTTTTATGCTGCATAATATGCAGCATGCACTCTGCGAGTACAGGACCCGGTAAAGCGCAAAGGCAGAATTACGCAAAAATATCAAGCAGTCAGAAAAGAACTGACACTTCCTTTTGCATATATTTCCCTAACTACTACAAATATCGAAATCAAACTTATTTGAATGGATAGAGAAACATGTGGCCTTTCAGTTGACACCAAGATTGCCAGATTTAGATAATTCTTAGACCTTTTATGCTCGAATATATGAAGCATTCTCTGCGCGGGATAAGGACAGGTAGGGCGCACACGAAGACAGAATTCCGCAAAAATATCAGGCTGTTGGAAAAAAAAATATCAGGCTGTTGGACACAAACTTGCATTTCCTCTGGCAGATATTTCCCTAACTACTGCAAATATGGATATGAAACTTATACATGTGGCCTTTCAGATGACAGCAAGGTTGGAGGATTTAGATAATTCTTAGACCTTTTATGCTCGAGTATATGAAGCATTCTCTGCGCCGGATCAGGACCAGTATATCGCAGAAGAAGCCGGAATTCCGCAAAAAAAAGAGTTCAGTTGGTAAAGAACTCGCACCTCCATTGACAGCTATTTCCATAACTACTCCAAATATGGATATGAAACTTATATGAATGGACAGGGAAACATGTGGCCTTTCAGATGACAGCAAGATTGCCAGATTTAGATAATTCTTAGACCTTTTAGGCTCGATTATATGAAGCATTCTCTGCGCGGGATAAGGACCGTTATGGCGTAGACAAAGCCAGAATTCCGCAAAAATATCAGGCCGTTGGACGCAAACTCTAATTTCCTTTGGCTC